AGTACCGTCATTTTGCGGAAATCTTGCGGATATCTGCGACCGTCATCGTCGTTGTGCGCGAACATGGACTTCCCATCATCCTTCCGGTATCACGAGCGTGTACATATTGTACACGACCGAGCTGATCGAACAGCGTATCACGTTAACTGTACGTCAACGTACACACGCGCAGCTCTTGCTGAACTGCGGATATATAATCCGTAGCGGGCAGACCACGCCGTGACAAGACACAAACCGCAAAGCAGTATTGGCTGGGCATCAGGCTGTTCGGTTCGTCGTCCACGGTTAAACAACAATAGCTCGTACAATATCCAAATTATCATTTTATCGGGCCGCGTCGAAAATGCCGAATGTCCTTCCAACCGCAGATCCTACTCGACGAACCCACTCGTTTCATCCGTGCAAGCGCGCGCAAGAAATATGCGGCGTCGTTGAACGTTGTGCGCTTCATGTAACTTTGCAAACCACACGAAGAGATGACATCGAAAATGCAAAAATCGAAAATAATAATCGAGTGTGAGACAGATATTCTTGTTTTTTTTTTCTTTTTTTTTTCCTCTTTGCTTGTTCGCCCCTTTTTCTTTTTCCTTTTCTAAAGAATGCCGTCGATCTGTTGTTCCGTGTACTCACCTTACCTTTGAAGAAAAGCACACAATTGTGATAAAAATATTGATTTTATTCTTGCTTCTAATACCTAACCTAACCTAATCATTCATATCGTACGAGGTGTGAATGAATCGCATGTGAAAATCCGAAATGAGCATTCGGAGCGTTGAAAAACAATAACGATCAATGGTGGGCAAAACGATGTGTTTACGTTTGGAAGATAGAGACGCGGATTATAAAAACGATGTCGCGATAGAGCTAGGCAGTTAGTCGCTGTTGGACGCCCGAAATAGACGATGGCAGATGGTTGGTTGATGAGTGTTAATCAAACCATTGTTTTCCAATGTTCATCGGGTAACCGGGCTCGAGCATTGTTCCCTTATTTACTTTAATTAATCGATTTCTCTTAATTCCGAATACCGGTGTCGTCGTGCGTTTCCCCTTCGACACCGGTCCGATTCCAGATATTTTCTTGGTCACCAAACCGGGCTCGCCGCGCGTTTCCCGGGCGGGGGGGGGGGACGGTATGACCTCAGTGATCTGAACCGGCAGCTGAGAGGGACATCTCTTGCGCTTCCCCTTGGAGATCTCCAACTGCCCGCCAGCGGTTTGAATGTGCGCATATCCGTTCAGACCGCCATTTTTAATCAATTATCGCGTGAGGTAATTGCGCGAAAGCCTGACTCGAAGGTGTTCTGGCACTCGGTGCGCCAGTACTTCGTATCCCGCTCGACCTCCACCGACGGTCGTCGGTGACGGTTACACGTATTATCGTTATGCTATCTATTGTTTTTGTTTTATGTTTACTATCTCAAACTGCTCGTCTATTCATTCGGCTCTTAGTGTGTACGCATAAGGCAAATAAACAAAAGAAGGAAGGTCATGTCTATAGGGATTCCCTCCCGTTATTTATATATACATCCTATATACGTTACTCTTACACGAGACATCTGTAAAGTGGAACGCAACGTCAACAGGGTATCGGAAGCGAAAAGCGAAAAGCAAAACGCGCGCAACAGCGGAAATTATTTTCGGGAAATGCGACCGCGCGCGTTATCCTGTTGTCCCGGCGACACGATAATTATCGGATCGTCCGCGGATACGATTCAGAAAACGTTTGCTCAAACATTTGGTAGAAAAACAAACGGCGGCAAGATACGCACGTGCAATCGCCAGACAGAGAGTGGGCGACAATAATTAAAGGCGCGGTCGGATGGAAAGTAACCGGCGGCGGGGGGAGGGGGGTGCACTATCGACCCGAATGCATCGATGAAAGCCGCCAGGGCTGACGACACGGCAGCAGCCCGATCCCGATAGACGCTATCGCGCTTCAGTGGTCGATCCTTTAAATTAATCGCTATGAAACGCCATCGCAGCGGCGAGACCGCAGTAAAAATGAAGCGAGCGCGCTCGCTCGCTCGCGTTGCGTTCAATTTGCAATAAGAGCCGCTCCCGCCTCCCGATAAGAGCCAATGTCGATGATCGCGCGTTATACATTCGCGGTCACTGGAAAATGTAAACTGCTTTTTATTGCCCGCTGAGAGAACGGCCAACTTCGATGTAATCAGCGGGAAATACGCGGAAAAGAAGCGAACTGTTTTATTCGAGTTGTAATAAAAATCGATAGCTCGATAGAGGTTTATGAATATTAAAAATTATATGTGTGTGTGTGTGTGTGTGTATCGATCGCCAATACAAACATGCGAATAACATAATTATACATATTAATTATCGGATACGGATAAAAGGTAACTCGCAAAAGAGAGATATGAAAGTGAACTCTTGCATATTTTGCTTTTGGACGAAAATCGATGGGCAGAAAATGAAAAGAGCGTTTCTGTTTTAGCAGTGTGTGCAATTCGATGAAAACTCCCGCGCACGTCGATATATTTAAATAAATAAAAAAGAAATGAAAGTATATATTACGCGCGCTTTACAGAAACAGCGATAATAAAATGAAAAGTCCGCTTAAGCGTAAAACGCATCAATCAGCAAAATTTTCGAACGAGAGGTATAAACATTGTCCGGATGGTGACTGACTGGGGCAAGCTTGATGGACGGTTCCGCCATGATAACGATGAGCCGCGCTGTAAATTAATCGCCGCAAAACGCCACTGAAAGGCCGTGCGATCATCGCACCCAATTAGAAAACAAAAAGAAGGAAACGAACTGGCTCGATGGAACTATATGTGTTACACGTCGTGTTGCGAGAACTTACTTTCCGCCTCGGAAGCTGTTTATTGAAAATTATGTTGCGAAAGTTCACACGGCGAACTCGCAATATTATTGACAGATGGACGATTTTCGATCGTGCGAAAGTCCGCGAAGTAGAGTCGAGAAACGTGTGTATGGTGCCGAATTGATTTTATTCCAAAATATTTCTCCTCGCAGCAAACGCAGAGACACGTCCGTGTCTATTAAAGAGAACTGTCGGAACTTTTAATTAAATTTGCCGGTAAATCAGGTCGCGTAAATTTTGTAAATTTTATTTAAGTTGTTAATATGTTCTTTTATCTTCTTTCCTCTTTTTTGTTCTTCTTTCCTTTTTTCTTTTAATCCTCACGTATATTCGAATAGAATATTGCGGGTGGAATCGGACGGTCGATCACGTAATTGTCAGTCCACTTTCCCATTTATCATTTTTCATCGTTTCAAATCTCACGCGAATTTCTCTCGTCCGCTTATCCAGCTCGTCGTGCCACATCAAAAAAAATCACGTATAATCGCGATCTTTGAAAATTCGCTTATCACCTTTTTGCTTGTACTAGAATTGGTAACGTGATCGATTCCCTCGTATTGCATTTAAATGCTTTGAGGCATTTTCCAATTTTTGAACATTTCCCATTTTCTTTTTTTTTTTTCTTTTTTTTTTACGTAAATCTGAAATTTACTTTCGTAAAACAGCATAAAATGATGTCGCAGAAAGTATTTTTTGCACAGAATTTCTTCTAGAAATTTTAATACTCCAACGTAGAATACATATATGTTTTAAGCAAAATTTACATGCTTTTTCACGGCGGAAATTTATCGGTCGAAAAAGTAAGTAAGTAGTGAATCTTTCATCGGTGCACACTGTCCAATTTCGTTTAGTGCCGGAAGATTCACTACAGTTGGGAAAAATATACAGATATGACTTTTTTAATTTGGCGCAAGCGGCATCTCGACTAGTAATCCCTGGCATAAAAGAATGCGACGGAACTCCCCCGGAGGCCAAGTCATGCGGGAAGATCCTAAGTAATCGTTAACCCGGGTAACTTACGTTTCCGGCAGCGCGCAAGATGCATATCTTACGGGAAATTTTTAATGTTCTTTTCGTGCAACTACGCTAAATTTAATCATGCATGGTGTAATATTCGGCGAACGCTCGTCTCGCCGTTTTGTTGAGGACTATTAAAAATGTCGAGCGCTAAATTATACTCGAAATTATAATATATTCCACTTGTCCCATTTTCGCGTCTCATTTCGCTCTGCACAGCTTCTTACTCCGTGGTTATTATCATCATTACAGTCGGCCGTCGCCCGGCAACTGCGAGCAACTCCCGGACACGAGCGCGCACGTGTCCGACATTCGTTTGCAAGTTTTATTAAAACGGATGGATCACGCGCATATATACTATACACATAAGCACATATAAATTCTGTCACCGGGGCAACTTTCACCTCCTCGCCAGGACGATACGTGCTCCCGTCCTTCTCGCTCGCTTTCGTACATTCTTTACACGGGTCATAAATACGAATTTTCTGCTCGACCATCCGCGGCGGCCCTTTACCTCGCGACCCCTCCGAATAGAGGCTTGAAAATGTCGCCTGTTAAGGGCGACATCTCGGAAGAGACGCAAACATGCGTCTTTGGACTATCTGAACCTTTAGCCCTTCATCTCTTACCTTTCGTGTTTATTTCGTGTGTGGGAATAACGGAGATAAAGAAACGACCGGTGTAATTGATAAATGTAATTGATTGTTCTTTGTTCTAACGTCGAAATGTAATGAAAGCCGCAAACACACAGAGATAGAAATTTGGTATTATTGGATAAAAAAATAGAGTTAGATTATATTAAATTCTTTAAGTGACGTTACGCGTGACGTATTTACGCGAAGAAAGAATTCACGTCGTAGATGAATTTATCAAAATTCCAACACTCTTTATCATGCTTCTTACGGCCACCACAAACACATACTCTCTCTCTCCCTCTCTCTCTCCCTCTCTCTCTCTCTCTCTCTCTCTCTCTCTCTCTCGCTCTCTCGCTCTCTCTCTCTCTCTCTCTCTCTCTCTCTCTCTCTCTCTCTCTCTCTCTCTCTCTCTCTCTCTCTCTCCCCCTCCCTCCCTCTCTTTCCCTCTCTCTCATGACTCGCTGAAAATGTTCTAAAGCAATATCTCTCGTTTGATTTTTCAGGTAACTCTCTCGATCTCGATTCTCATCAGCCTTCACGTGTTCTTTTTGCTGGTCGTCGAAATCATCCCGCCGACATCGTTGGTCGTGCCGCTGCTTGGAAAGTACCTGATATTCGCCATGATACTCGTCTCGATAAGGTAAGAGTAATTACTTGGCTCATCGTCCAAACAAACAAAACCAAAGAGACAAAGAGTTTCTCGGAAAATTATCTTTGGCAAATGAATTGCGCGATTAAAAGGACAGAAGCGAGTTGCGCACAATGCGACGAATTACGCGGGGAAACAATATCCGGGAAAAATCGTGCGATCGATCGCCGGGTATGTTCTGTTTCGCTCGCGATATCGCACTTATCGAGCATGTTGGCGCGCTATCGCTGGCATTATCGATTAACGCTTCAACGGTGAATTATCGGCTCGCGTTTACGGCAACGACGATCTCGTGGCAATTAATATCGCCCCGTTGAGAATTGTAAAAGCAGAGGCGGCGCGCGGCTAGAAGCGGAAAAACGACGACGATGGTCAAGAATCGTGCTCGTTCTCGCGCGTCTACCCTCGAAGTTCAACGCTAATTCACGTAACAACCATGGCGGTATCGTTCACAGTCGTTTTCTCTCTCCACAACTGCGTTCCGCTTCTCTTCACGCGAGACCCCGATCTCTTAACATTTAACATGAAACGCTGATGAGCCGTCCAGACGCTTCGAGACGCTCTCCTCGCGATAAAACGTCAGTTACATTCGACCCGAAAGAGTACAAGATACCCAATATGGATGGTGGACAGAGATATCGCATTTAGCGGTGATGATGCGACCCGGAGAGCGAAGAGAAAACTCGTGAAGTTTCGAGTTGCAAATAAATCGTACGCAATACACGTGACGTAGTCATGGTAAAAATACATCCACACGAGTACTTTGTACTTTGAGATCTCGAATTATTGCTCGGAAATGGGCGCAACAGAGTAGGAAACAAATAACGACCACTCATAATTTATTTTTCGATCCTGAAACGGAACTTACATCGCCCAAGCACGTACACATCGACGACGGAGGCACGATCCCCATTAATGTGGGTTGCACCAGGAAGAACCATCGTCGATGAAAGTAAGAGTTTTCCGTCGAACAAAACAAAAGGAACGCGACAAGAGGAAAGCGAGAAGAAAAGAAAAGTCGTATAGTCGAAGAAACCGTGTATAGCATCCGATGCGATATCTCGCGTAGGAAACATTTAAGACGCTTGTTGAAACATGTGGCTTTTGCGACGTCTTTAAGTTATGATGTTAAATATAACGAAAGAAAAAGTTGTTTTGAAGATTAAAGGATTCGAAACCAAAATTATTGAAGATTCGAGAACGTTTTCGCTTCTAAAGATCGTGCTAATTTCAAAACAATCGAAATTCAGTCGAATAGAATTCTCGCACTAAAATTCGCACTATGCGAAATTCTCGAGTCACATCACATTTAAATTGGTGGCGCTTGCAGCCACCACCAACGAAAGTCGTCGTTAGCGATTTTCCTCGCTCATCCACCCTTTCGTTCTGGCCAGGACTATCTTCATTTACGCTGACGACACTCTTTGGCAATCTGCTCCTAATAACACACTTCAGCGCCCCTTTAATTAATCTGAACTTCAACCTGCCTCTACCTTCAACCCTTCTTCTCAGAAGAAGGAGAGTTTTTCGCATACAAAAAAGAGAGAGAGAGAGAGAGAGAGAGAGAGAGAGAGAGAGAGAGAGAGAACACGTCACGCGCTCGGTGGAAACTTTCCTCAGTCAAATCGTTACATCATAGAGATAAATTGCGTCTCTCTCTCTCTCTCTCTTTTTGCAACTTGACAACGGCCGAACAATTAGCCTCGCTGATCGAAGCGGGACGGTTGACATAGCGGAGAAACGGCTCTTGCAGTTTTGAAATTCGCACGATTCGAATCGTCGCACTTTCGAAATTAATAACACACGCACGAAACTCGAGAAGCGCTAAGCATATTTCGTGTCACTCGGTAACACGCGTTACGCGTGCGCGCGCGCACAGCGGATGTATGCTAAATTCGAGCAGCTGCGCAAAATTCGAATTGAGATACAATTACATTTTTCCGACTGTCGCATCCGTCTGCTTGCATGGCTATTTGTAACGCCGATTCACGCGCAATGTCCATGATAATAGCCGTCGACAAATGAGATAATTAATATCAGGCGTGAGACCCGGGTGAGTGGCACATATGTGCCGCGGACACCGTGTGTTGTTTACCAATTTACGATGAAAACGGCGTGCACGCCACTCTCTGTCTTTGTTGCGCGCGGCAAATATTTATTAATCTATCCATTATTTACCCATGATTTATCAGCGAATAAAGCTGGATAAGCGAGTGTATACCATTAACAGCGCCGGGCAGTGTTCGCGACGCGAGATTTTGCGTCAGACGCTTCGTAAATATTTCCGCGTAATACAAATACCAATAATAATAATAATAATAATAATAATAATAATAATAATAATAATAATAATAATAACAATCGATAAGGGTTAAAGGGAGAGGGAGATGCATTTTGCATCGCCGCGTCATACGGGTCGGGGGAGCGGCACAGTTTCCTCGGATGTTCCTTCATTTCCTGCTACGTTACCCAGGAACGAGCTACCGAAAATCCGCGTCGGATGATGAAGATACCGCGCGCGGATAAACAGCAGCTTTTTGTTTTCGAATCTGGGTTATCGTAGAAACGAGACGCATAAAGCTGCAGCTGCACCCCGTCCGCCTTCGCGCCGGATTGTTCAGGCAGCGGCGAATCGACTTGGGTATCACGAAGGTAGCTATTATCTCTAACACGGTGTGTATTTTCGATACATATGATAACGGCAAATCTTCGAATTATGACATGTCACAAATTGGATATTTATTTATATGTTGTACTTTTTCGAGAGGAATATGAGATCGTATCGAACCAAGAGAAACAAATCCAGAGAATCTATTCGCTGGAGGAAAAGCAAACACAGATTAGATTTAGAATTCATTTCAGAGTATAAAAGTGCCATCTCTCCTCTGTGTAAATGTAAAATATTCTCTCGCTGAGGCCGGCCGCACCCTGTACTGAACTGAATCACACACCCAGGTATCCGTATCCGGTAATTTCGGAAGCAAGGGGAGTCGATTCACATGCCCGCGTAGTCGTTTCGCAAAGCATGCGAAACCACGAATATGACGTTCCCGCTTGAAAGTCACGCCATAATCGCCTGCAGACTGAGTAAACATGAAACTAATCCCCGAACTTCGGTCGCCGGCTGATAAGTCGAGTTGATGTTTGCCTTCGTCGTTGACGGTGATCCGCATTGCCGGAGAGCCAATGACATTAACAACGATTAGATTCGCTCGCGGACTTAAATGATCAGATTTCGCAAAGTCGCTAAGTAGTACAGGGATCCCACACACACGGTGTTGATGTCCTCGCGTCCTAGCGTAATTGCGTTTGTATCGAAGCCGTAATTGTGCCGGAAGTGGCCGCGATCTCCTCTCCTGTCCTTTTACCTCGGATAAATTTACCTCGGATACAGATTGACCCTTTTGCGAATGATGCGGTGTATGCGCACCAGAGGATGTATGCGGAACGATGTGCGCATCTGATTTAAGCTGTTTTAATCGCCGCTTACCATCGGTTCCAACAGTGGAGAGGAAGCGGATAAATCATAATTTAGCGAAACTCTGAGGACATTTGGTAATTTATGGGTCGCAAGTCGCGAGCGACGGCGCTCGCTCTATCCGGAGCACTGAGTATACCGGTCAGCTGGTCGTTGACATTTCGGCACATCAATTCTAAAAGTATGTCTATTCACACCCTTTTGAAAAGTGCCTCGAGAGCGGCTAGCGCGCGCAGCCCTTTTCAAAGGGACCTCGTTTCAATATTAATGGCGGCATTTGCTGGCTTCATTTGCCAGCGACATTTAACTAACAACTCGGTCTATCCACCTCGCCATTTTTGCGCGGCCTCACGAACGTGTTCGCCGCTCCGCTTTTCCGTACCAACCCCGAGCAAAGGGATCATGATAAAGAGAGACAAACTATGCACACGCTCTGTGCGTGTGAATAGCGTGATAAGATAAGAGTATAACTATTCTCTTCTTTTTTTTTCTTTATTCTTCTTTTTTCGCGTTCAAACATTGTTCTCGCGGTTTCTCATTATTCTGGGGGTGGTTAAGGCTCGCGTATCTACCCTTGCAAAGTGTAGCCTCGACGAACATTGATTGGTACGTCGTAAAAGAAATTTAACGGGTCAATGGTCAAGTATTTCGTTGACGCTACGAGGTGCGCACAAAATAAGTTTACGGTCCAGTGACCAGCCGACTTGTCAAGACGAAAATACGTATCACCTTAGCGCTTATCGATTATTCGATTTTATCGTGCGAATAAAATTAGCTGCAAATGCTCGCTTCGTTGTCCGACGAGATCGGCGATTTACAGCGTAGCGGCCCGGTCATTTCTGGGGACGGAAAGGGCCGATTTCGGGAAAGGCGGGAAATCACGGAACGGCGGTAATGGAGGGATTCAGTGGTCGTTTCTGCGGCGCGAGGACGCGGCCTCGCAAAAGCGGCAAAGCGCGCAACATTCGTTTTATGGAGCGGAAAGAAAAGGCGGTGGCGGCATCGCTCGTCCTGTCCTGGACCCGGTCCAAACCCGAGGGAACCGTCGGCGTCGCGTATCCACAGCGAAAGCAGGATTTTGGAGTCGACAATAAACTCCTGTAGAGCGTACTATGACGATCTCTCGCCGGTTCGCCTAGCTCGTTCCCTCGCTCGTTATTAACGACTCCGCACATCGCGCCGTCACGTCCAACGATGCGATTCCTCGTCGCAGGACGAAGAAATTCTGACGGACGTCACGTCGTCGAGTACTTTGGATTAATCGATAGACGAGTCGCGTTCTAGAGACGTGTCCGAGCGGTTGACCCGTTCCTAGAAAATATCGCGTTTCGCCCGGATTGTGGAATACGCGAGAAGTAAACAGATCTCTATTTTATCTCGGTATTAGTCTCTCTCTCTCTCTCTCTCTCCCCCCCCCCCCCCCCCCCCTCTCTCTCTCTCTCTCTCTCTCTCTCTCTCTCTCTCTCTCTCTGTGTGTTATTCACCGCCGATTTAATCTATGCGATATGTTGCG